TGAGAAAAGTGTCCCTGCATAGGTTCCAGGTTCCAAACAGTCAGCATATGCACTGAGGACAGGGCCCGGTCCCACTGCCTGGATGCCTCCCAAAAAGTTCAAGCTGATCTACTGTCTCACTTATCCAGAGGGCCTGATCCAGTTGGGGGCTCCTCAGCTATTTGTTCATAGTTCATGTATTTCCACTAGTTTGGCTATTTGTCCCTGTGCTTTTTCCAATCTTGGTCTCAACAATTCTCACTCATACAATCCTTCCTCTTTCTTGCCGATTGGACTCCTGGAGCTCCACCTGGGGCCTGGCTGTGGATCTCTGCATCAGCTTCCATCAGTCATTGGTTGAGATTTCTAGCATGACAGTTAGAGTGTTTGGCCATCCTATCACCAGAGTAGGTCAGTTCAGGCTTTCTCTTGACCATTGCCAGCAGTCTTTTGTGGGGGTATCTTTGTGGATTTCTGGGGACCTCTCTAGCACTTTTCTTCTTCCTATTCCCATGGGGTCTTCATTTACCATGGTCTTTTTTCCTTGTTCTTCCTCTCTGTTCTTGATCCAGCTGGGGTCTCCTGCTCCTCTACGCTCTCTTTCTCTCGAACATTGCCCTTTATTACCCCACCACCACCACATCCAGTTTGCTAATGTAGATCTCATCCATTTCTCTGTCATTCAGTGATCCCTGTGTCTTTCTTAGGGTCCTGTTTTCTAGGTTGCCTCCCTGGAGTTTTGAGTAGGAGTCTAGTCATGTTTTGTTTTACATCTAGTATCCTCCTATGAGTGAGTCCATACCATGTTTGTCTTTCTGAGTCTGGGTTACCTCACTCAGGATGATTTTCTTCTAGATCCATCCATTTGCCTGCAAATCTCATGATGTCATTGTTTTTCTCTGCTGAGTAGTACTCCATTGTGTATATATACCACATTTTCATTATCCATTCTTCAGTTGAAGGGCATCTAGGTTGTTTCCATGTTTTGGCTATTACAAACAATGCTGATATGAACATATGAGCACATGCCCTTGTGGTATGATTGAACATTCCTTGGGTATATGCCCAAGAGTGGAATAGCTGGATCTTGGGGAAGATTGATTCCCAATTTTCTAACAAAGCACCATATTGATTTCCAAAGTGGCTGTACAAGCTTGCATTCCCACCAACAGTGGAGGAAAGTTCCCCTAGCTACACATCCTCTCCAGCATAAGCTGTCTTCAGTGTTCATTCAAGAGGTTTGAATCTACAAATGGACTCATGTCTGGAAATTGGTTCATGGGAAGATATTCTCTTTTGTCAAGATCCAACATAGTTATTCTATAATTTGTTTGAGAATTTTTCTATATATACACATCAAACAAAAACAACAAAAGCTTCTTATGTATTTCATGCCTGCAAATACTGGGGCTGATTAGCCAATACCAAAGATCCATATGAGTCATGTCCCCATAAAAATCACTTTGTTTGTGCTGATCATTCCAGGTACATTTTGTACATTGCTTTGTCTATGTTCCCCACTACAATAACTACAATCACCTTGCCTTTGGCAATTCATTGCTGCTACCTGGCCTCTGTTACTTTGAGGCCCAGTTAAACTCATAACATTTATCTCATCCAACTGAGCAGCAGTGTCTCTAACCCTAACATCTGGCACAAGGAACAGGACAACAAGAAAGCTCTTCATATGTGCTAGTGCCCTTTTTTTTTACCACTTTGCATCTTATAAGATTAATGAACTAGTTGTCTTTGAGGCCTTCCAACTGTGGAGGATGAGGTCCTATATAGTATACACATTAGCATTGCAGTTTCCTGAGCCATAAAATCCCTTCATAAACAAGAAGCCAAGGGATATCAGACATCTGAAGAACATTTTCTATAGGCCATCTTTTAAGAAATTCTTCAGCCAACCATTCAAACAAACTTTTAATATATGTTTTAACTGTATGACCTTCTAAAGTAAAGCTCCCATTTCCACTCAATGAATCCATATCAGTAAACTTAGCCTGATCCAGTTTTATATTCCTTCCACCATTATCCCACACCTTAAATTCCATTCCTACATATATTCCCCCAGATTTTCTGCTTGATTGAATTACTACACCCAATAAGCTCTTTAGTTGTGTAGTACATCTCTTCGTGGACTACACTTTCTATCTTTCATGCAGTAGCCTGGCTACTCTAGTCTTAAGACTGATTATAGGTCTTGCAGGTCATGAGAACCATCAGTACTGTTTGTCATCTCCTTCAGGGAAAGTTACTGCTGGTTTATTATACAATAAATGATCAATTTCATCAGTGAAATGTGAAAAAGGCAACATTTCAGGGAATGTGAGTGGGAATACATTTTCTGATGAGAGTGGGGAGAATATTATATCAGGTGAGATAACCTATAGATGAATTTCTAAACAGTCTTATTAAATAAGAAACACAGAGCCAAACACAGGGGTGCAAACCATAGAGATCAGAGCAACAGCCACCAACTAACCTTAGCTCACCATGTCACCATTGCTTCCCAAAAGAGCCTCTTTCTGTCTAACTTGTACCTTTATTGCCTTGTTGTTCTGCCTTCTCATTGGCTCTTAACCTAGACACCTCACTATACATCCAGGTCTCTATGGTTGGTACTGGGATTAAAGGCATATATCACCACGCTTGGCTGTGTCCTTGGACACACAGAGACTCTGCCTGCCATGTGATTAGATTAAGGGAGTGTGCTACCACCACCTGACTTGTGTTTATGGCTTGCTATTACCTCTGATCTCCAGACAAACTTTCTTTATTAACATACAAATAAAATATAGCATTTCAGCACAAATAAAATATCATCACAACAATCCAATGAGATTCTGAGGATTCAAAGTTTTCAGTTTCAATAGTGTCCTTCCAAACATCTCCATCCCAAGTTAAAGGATTTCCTTCTTTACCAATCAGTGCTCTGGCTTTAACATCATGTACCCTCCAAACACTGATACTTGAATGTTCTTTGTAAATCTGCCAAAATAATGAGGGCTTGGGTTTATTTTCCCACACTTGAGTTCTGTGACTGCTAGAGAGAAGATTCTCTTCAAAGGCATACTTAGGAACCATTAGACTATGTGCCTCTGAAGCTGTTGAGCTTTATTCATTGCGTTCATTATTATCCAGAACCTTATTCTGGGACACTCAAGGTTGCTTAATTTTATCATTGAACATATTTTTCCTTTGTCAATTTATCTGGAGATGTTAGGATCAACCAATGAATGTAATCATTTTCCTTATTTTTTTTCACAAATTGTCAGTATTTTTATATATAGAGTCACCAAATAGGTTGTTGCTCACATTTTGAATATAGGGATAATCTAATGCATTTATCTGCTTAAGACTGTAAAATGATTCATACTCATGGGAGTTTCAGACTCTCTGAGCTTCTAGGAGATGTTTTAGTAACTGAAAAGTTTTCAGAAACTGTAGCTGTTGGAAAATTGGAATGTTTATTCCAAATAGTTAAAAAAAAAATGGGTCCTTATAATTCTGTTGCTCTAGGACCACTCTGGTCCCAATGTCTGTGTTAGTCATGGTTCTCTAGAAAAACATAACTTGAAGAAAGAAGTGAGCATGTTGCTATTGAATATAGCCTTTGGGAATGCAAAAATTGCAAAATTAGTATATATCTATGTTGTTTGTGACTTACAAACTTCACTGCTATCATTTATTTTATGAGAAAAAATGATTCTCCTGATTATTCAATTTTGTGTTAAATTTTAGCTTCAGACATAATTACCAATTAGTTTTCAGCAAAGGAAACATATTTGTGATTATGATAAATTCTATTTTCAGTAATGGCAACTTGGCCACAGTTCTTCCATGAGGTGAAGCTGACTCTGCTTATGATGGCGTAGTCACAGTCTTTAATAGTGTCATGTTATCTCCTTAGATAGCTCAGTTGGTAGAGCGGAGGACTGTAGTGTCATGTTACTGTCATGATGAATTAAAGTTTGATTCCTCCATATATATTTTGCTCAGATCATATGCATTATGTGCTATATCCTGTATACTTTCTTCCTTTTCTAATGAGGAAATCTTCTAATTAAGATTTTAAAGTATTAAATAAGAGACGTTTGTGTTGATAAAGTTACAAATTAAATTCATTAGCTACTTAGCCAGCCACAGTTTCTTAGTTCTACCTAGTTTCTCAGAATGTGCTAAACACTTTCAGAATTAATATTAATGCCTTGGGCCTTGATTGTACTAATAATTAACTAGAAGAGTAAAATGATTTTATAATAGTGCTTTATTTTCTCCCAATATAAAGCATAGATACTGAAAGCCAAGTTTTATATTTTTTAAAGTTCACTCTTTTATTCTATTTGTAATTTGGGGTTCTGTAGGCCCTCAGATGCAGTGACATTCAAGCAGAAAATCTTTAAAGGCAAACAAACTTTCTTAGCTCATTGACCTTTCTCTCATTTGATGAGCATTTGGACATTTTAGACGCTGAAGGTCAAAAAGAAATCTTTATATTTATTCTTAGTTGTACTATATGTACATGGTCAATAATCTGTGTTAAATGTGCTCAGGGAATTTTATTTTCTACTGACACATTGTATTTTTCAATGTATATCCATATATGTACTTGAACTAATCAGTATGTGTATATACATATGTGTTTATATATATGTAATATTTTTCTTTGATTTTTAAGACATATATAATGAATACATTTAAATAAATATGCTTTGTTAGTAACTTCCATAACTTTAAAAACCAACAATTAATTGATAATGGTAAGATGATCATGTTAAATATTCTGTAGGATGTTATATAATTTGATGTATCAACTTACCTTAGCTATATATATTAAATAAAATTATTTGAAACTATTGCCAATGCAGAATTATCTGAATGAATTTTTATTGTTGTTGTATTTTTCTTACTTTGCATTTGTTCATCTGTCTATAGATATCCACAGTCTTCTGGCTATCATGTATATCTATCCCTTCATTGACTTCCAGCTATCAGCTATCTATGTATTTATGCCTTTAGATAATTAAATTCACATATAATAAGAATTTTGAGAATATCCAGGTGGTCTTATCCCTCCATCCTAAACGGTCACCCAGTTCCACCAAAAACCGCCAGCCCAACTGTAGACAACCCAAAAAGAGGGCAAGAGCCAGAAGTAGGAAAGCACCCACTAGCCTAAGAAAACGGGTGAATAGCCCCGCTGCACAGTAAAAGCTCTGGCTTAGAAACAGGGCCATCATCTGGACCCAGCCCCCCAATCTCCCTGCCCAGACTCCCACCCAAACTCGAAAAAGGTCCAGATCACTGCCTTTCAGCTGCCTGCATGCATAAATGAGATGGCCACAAGTTTCTACATACTCTCCCACCAATACCAGAAGTTCAATCAGCCACCAGAAGCCCTCCTGTCCAAGCTGACATAGTTCCTCTACTCTCCACAGTCCCAGACCTCTGTGCTTATCTGCCTGATTTCATTTTCGGCCCAGTGGATGAAGACCAGGGGACCTGGGATCTCTGCGTCCACTATCCCGAGTATCCTCCTTGGTCAAAAAACAGTGTCTCTGCCTCTGGGATGGGGGTTTCTTCCCACTGGACACACGTGAGAAATCACTGGGAAATTTAAGAGGTTCCTCATCATCATATTCTTCTTCTAATTCTTTATCTTCCCCCAAGGCTAGAGAGGTGCAATGGTGGCAGAAGTTGCTAGAAGAGCCATCTCCTTCCTCAGAGTGAGTCCCTTCTGGGACTCCAGGGTTTCCCCAGCAGTTACAAGCAGATGGAATGGAAAGAAAAGAAGGGCTCCCATCCTCCTGGTACCCAGTCTCATTATCTCTTGAGAGTTCCTGGTCCACTCCTGACTCTTCCGAAGATGCGTCACTCTCGTCAGGGTAACCTCCTTCCCTAGGTGGTCCCGGACCCCTTGGAGGAGCATGGTTTGGATCCGACCAGTGGGCTGGGTTAGGGGCTGTGTGTACTTAGGACATGAGGCAGCGGGTACCATTAGGAGCAGTCTCCGTTTTTCCCTGAGTCCTGAGAATGAAAGTTTTTCAAGGTGCACAGAGGGTCCTGAGGTCCTGAGGGAGGCACCACAGCTGTGATGGGCTCCACACAACCCTCCTTCTCCAGGGTGCTTATGGGCCATGACCCCCGGGTTTTCTGAGGATTTTAGGTCACAGCCATCATGGTAAGTTCTACTACCAACAGCAGCGGTAACTCCTTCCCCTTGAGCAGCTATGCCTGAGGCCAGGGGGAGCTACTGTGAGCAGATCTCCCCCCCACACACACACCCCCACACCATCACCCCCTCTGGCTCCACCTCCTGCTCACTCGCCTCTTCCACCTTCCAGTCCCCACTGCAGTGGCTTACTTCCACTTCCAGGGTCACTGGGGAATAAAAAACTGGAAGGGAAGAGAAAAGCGGTTGGCGAGCCTGCGCAGCTGGCTCTGGAGTCAAGTCTGTGGAACTGGGGTAGCTTAGGCATCAGTACGGTGAGCAGTGAGGCAGTGTTGATGAGGAAATCAGCAGCATCATACTTGGTGTAGAAGCTGGCCAGTAGGTAGCTAGGAAGAAAAAAAAAATAGGATGACTAAGGTTGGCCTTCCATACCCACATTTATGCCTTTCCAGTGATTGTTGTTTTTTTTTTTTTTTTTTTTTCTATTTTGAATTACTGGTTTTATTGCATGTAGTCCTTTGCCAGTCCAAAACTACTTAACTAAATCAACAGTATTTAATATGAGGTTTAGGATGTAAGTAGGCATTATAAATCATATTGTTTGCTAATCCCAGGGATTAATCCGAGGACTAATCCCAGGGCCTGTGCTTGCTAGGCAAGCGTTCTACCACTGAGCTAAATTCCCAACTCCTGTTTGCTGATTGTTAATGATAAATTGCAAATGACAGCCAAAAAAAGAATTTTCAATGAATAAATATTAAAACATTGCAATGTACAAAGGAATTATTATTGTTTTACTCTATAAATACTTGGTGTCCTTATCCATGATGTGTCAATATCATAGCACAACTCTATATTTTACCATTTATGTATTAAAAAAAACTAATTAGACCAAGTTTATTACAAAGCTTAGTTTCTTCATTATCTAATCCCACCATACTTTTATAAGTAATTTTCTGCTACTACTTTTTTGAGACATTTTATACTCCATTCATATTGTAATATTAGGTCACTCACATATCTCAAAAAAAACCCTGCATTTCATTGCTCCCTATTGTTTAAGATATGGCATCTGCTTGTGACTTTAAGTCACAATTTGTATTGGACATTCTTTGGCAAAGTACTAACCCTTTTTCACTACCATTTTGCAGTTTTCCATTCATCATATTCATTATCATTCTTCATCCCATTCTTCTTGAGAAGCCACTTTTCATTTATTTCAAATGACATTTACGATCATATAGATTCCCCATTTTCTCTACAACACAGTAAGCTGACTGTACTGTCATAGTGAAGATAGGCAGTTCCGAGAGTAAAAAAAAAAAAAATACTCATTCCTGCATGGACAATCTTTACACGTGACAAATGACTGTTTTATCAAAAACCTAGGTTTATTGATGTCTTGTTATAGAGCAATAAATAACTGATACTACCACTTTAAACTTTGGATAAACTTTAGTCAGTAAATCATCCTTTGTCTTTAATGAAGACTGTGAGAATTGACCAAAATGGTTGATGACTGTGAAATGGAGCGTTTTCCCTGAACATTGCATGGGGAATGGATGACAAAATAGGCAGAATATTTTCTGGCCAAGAGGAATTTTGTCTCAGTGAGAATTTACATTAACTATAGTCTACTGAAGATGTATAGCTAAAGATATATTTGTAGGCCACCATGAAAGTAAAACTATGAAGTTAGAAGCTGTAATGGCTGTTTTGTGTGTTAACTTGACACAAGCTAGGGTCATTAGAGAGAAAGGAGCCTCATTCAGGAAATTCCTCTATGAGATCCACCTGTAATTTTCTCAATTAGTGATCAATAGGGGAGGGCCTAGCCTATGATGGCTGTTGTCATCCCTGGTCTGGTGGTCCTGGATTCTGTAAGAAAGCAGGTAGAGCAAGCCTGTGGAAGCAAGTCATTAAGCAGTTCCCCTCCATGGCTTCTGCATCAGCTCCTGCCTCTAGGATCCTGCCCTGTTTGAGTTCCTATCCTGACTTCCTTTAGTGATGAACAGCAATGCTGAAGTTGTAAGCCTAATAAACACTTTCCTCCTCAACTTGGTTTTTGATTATGGAATTTCATCACAGCAATAGAAACCGCTAGCTAAGCTATTGAACATATGAGCTGTTTGTGAATTTAGTTGTTGAAAATTTGCCATGATAAATTTCTATTCTCCTTTGGCCATTCAAATTTTTGAAGGTGTTGGTGTGTATTCACACATATTTTAGCATGTGTATTTTTGTGAATACGTGCATGTGGTGGGAAATGTGTTTTCTGTGGCCCATTTTATAGCCAATATCTTGTGACTGTTCAGAGGAAGTAATTGTTGCTAAATTTACTATAGGCTGTATGAATTAGTGCTAAATTGGAATTAGCCTGAAGCTAATGACTCAAACTATAGCTTCCTGACTTACCAGTTTTGTGATTGCACTTGAGTTAGTAGATCTCCCTGATGATACTTGGTACTTTGTTTTGGGTATCATGTTTGTGAACTATATGCTTTAAAATCTGTAGAAGTTTTGAAAATATCAAGTTCCCTATATTTAGAACTGTTTTTTTTAATTAACTGAATTAGTCCTTTGTTTCTGAATGTGGAATTTCACTAGTATAAAGTAATATCATTATAAAATATGATACAGAAATGTTTAATAATCAATCTTCATATGTGTAATACAATTAAAAGCTAGCAAATATAAATTGCAGAGACCCAGGTTTGATTATCAGCCCCCATAAAGTGGCTTAAAAACATCTCTAATTCCACTCCCAGAATATTTGATGCATTCTTCTAGCCTCTGAGGGCACTGAGAAATCAAGTATTACAAAGGTATACATGCAGGGAAAAACATCATTCATAAAGTAAAAATACATAGTGAAAAAAATCCAAGATCATGAAGGGATTAACTGTGTATTTACCTGTAAGGATACATAGTTTTTTTTATTTTATAGATTGTGACTAGAACAATTCAGAGTAAATTTTTATACATGGTTATGGTAGTTTGAATTTAATTGGCCACCACAATTTCCTATGGAGTGGCACTTTTAGGAGGTATGTCATTCTGGAGGAGGTGAGGTCTTGTTGGAGGAAGTATGTCACTGTTGGGGTGGGCTTTGAGGTCTCATATTTGCACAAGCCATACCCAGTCCTTCAGTGCACTTCCTGTTGCCTTCTGATTAAGCTGTAGCCAACATTGTGTCTTCCTTCATTGCCTGCACACCACCATGTCCTGCCATGAGGATAATGGACTGAACCTCTGAATTGTAAGCTGCCACCCAAATTAAATATTTTCCTTACATGAGTTGACAAGGTCCTGGTGTCTTGACACAGATATAGAAAGCATAACTAAGACAAAAGCTGGTAACAGGGACCGGGGTACTGTGTGAAAGGCCTGATCATGTTTTGTTTCAAGGAATTTGGATTTGGGTACTTTGGGCTAGGGAGGCAGTGAAATACTTTAACCACTGTTTAGTGGGCCATACTAGTAGGATGATAGTGGTGTTAAGAATGATTTGAACTGTGGGGATCAAGAGATCTCAGAGGAGAATTTTAGTATAGCCTAGCAATGGTTCTTGTGATATTTTGGTGAAGAAAGTGCATGCTTTTTGTCTTTGTAACGTTTGTCTGAAGCTAAAGTGTGTTTTGCATTAATTCCACTGGCAGAGGAAATCTCAAAAGAGCCTAGTACAGATTCTGTTGTGTGGTTACTAGTGGTAACTCTAAGGAAAAATTTATAATGAAAAGGAACAAGCTAAGCAGGGCAAATTACAAAATGTAAAATTTAAGAAGAAAAAGAACATCAAAAATTGGAATGGAACTAAGTCCTGTGTTCAAGGAAATAAACAGATTAAGAAATGTAAAAAAGAGAGTGTTGACCTCCAGGCAAGATTCCACCCAGCTAAGTTTCCAATTTGTAAAAAGAAAGTAAAGAATAATTTAGAGCCTGGTGTGGTGGTACACACCTTAATCCCAGCACTCAGAAGGCAGAGGGTGGAGCACCTGTGAGTTTGAGCCCACTGTGATCTACAGAGCAAGGTCAAGGACAGCCAAGTTTAGGCAGTAAAGGTAACAACCAAAAACAGAAAGCTGATGAAGATGTAATTTAATGAGCGGGACATGTTCCTGCCCTAAAAAGCAGCATAAATTAGCAGTTTTGGCCCAGTGTTTTTGGCTTTAGTTAAGGATAAAAGAAATTAGTTATAGAATTTGCCTCTGTGCCTAAAGAATGCTGGGCATGTGTCAGTGGTATCCCAGAATGAAGACCTAGAGGGGCCACTAAGTGAAGCCTTGAAGATGAAGCCTGGATTTCTTTGGAGACAGCAAGATGTTGGAGATAACAGAGATGTGGAATATCTGCCAAGAAGAGCTTCTAACAGGGAGTGGAATCAGCCCAAGAGAAAGAAGTGTGTTGCAGTCAGTAAAGCTAAAAGGATGTGGAGATCTGAATAGTGTTTTGAGATCAAACATGGAGATTCAGAGTTTAGAGTTTGTCCAGTTGGGTTTTGGTGGTGCTTTGGTCCAGTATTTCCTCACTATGCTTCATTCCCTACATTTTTGAATGGTAACGTATGTCCTGTGCCATTATATGTTGGAAATGTGTGATCTGTTTTTTGTTTGTTTGTTTGTTTTGATTATATAGGAGATTATAGTTAAGCAATTGTATGTCTCTCAGAAGAAACTTTGAACTATGAATTTTTAAACATTGTAGAGACTGTGATAGACATTGGAGACTTTTGAAATTGTGCTAAATGCATTCTGCATTATGATATTGTTACAAGCTTATAGCAGCCAGAGAGGAGAATGTGATAGTTTGAATGTAATTTGCCCCCATAAGCTCATATGGAGTGGCACTATTAGGAGTTGTGGCTTTGTTGGAGGATTTATATTCTTGTTGAACACAGTGTGTCACTGTGGGAATGGGCTTTGAGGGCTCTTATATGCCCAGGCCACATCCAGTGTTTTAGTCTACTT